TATATATAATTTAAATATAGTAATCTAATTATTTATCAATTTTTGTTGAAGTGTTAAACAGTTTGCTTTTAAAGCACAGCATTTTTTGGGAGCCACTGATGTCTTTTGAGTCAAAAGTTTTGACACCTTTTATCATCTTGAGCCTAGATGATATACTGAAGACGCACATCAAAGGGAGATGCTATCCAATACAAGGAAAAGTCTCAGATGGACCAGCTCTCGGTTATACGGAGACTGGTACATTAAGACTGTCTTGTTTTCGGCCAAATACATTATACAGATTTATTTCGCCAGCTTTTGGAATAGACAAAATCCAAAGAGGACCCAAAACCAGTCCAAGCTAAATATTTGTTAAGAATAAACTGAGCACTCATAATAGCTGAACTTTTCGGCTTAGATGAGTATACGGGTGCCAAAGTAGTGCGATAGTTTTTGTGGGATAGTTTTTGAATAGAACTCTAGTTACTTCGTGTTGCACATGTAAGCTGTATAACAAAATATGTTTATATAAGTACAACTAACTAAAGATCATCAAATATTAGATTTTAAGCAAAAGAAGTACTCAAAGCATGCAGTTTGTATATATCTAATCTAAGAAAATCTCAGCTAAAATTATTTTGGTATTTAAACATCAATTCAAATTCTATAAACTTACTTGCATTGCCTCATTCACAGCTTGCATACAGACGGCTGGGAAGGATCGCACCTCGTACAAGCCGCTGGAACAGATCGATGCGAAGCTGGCGGACATCGATGCGCAGAGCACAGGCAGCAATAGCACCAACAGCAGCAGCAACGGCAGCAGCAGCAGCAACCACTCAAATGGCGCCGCCAATTGCCAGGAGCAGAGTGTAGCGGACTATGCTGCTGGCAACAGCAGCAGCAACAACAACAACAATTGCAGCAGCAGCAGCAGCAGCAATGAAACGGCAACTGGCGTAGCAGCAACGGCAACAGCAGCAGCAGCGTCAGCAGCAACATCAACGGCCAGCAAAAAGTATAAAAACAGCCACAAAAAAGACAACAACACAACAAGCAGCAGCAACACGTCAAACAACAGCAGCAGCAACAGCAACAGCAACAGCAGCAAAAACAACAACAATAAAGGTGTAAGTGTTTCACTCTTCTACTATTCTTAACGAAGCGCAGCAAAATGCCAAAGTAACTTGCTCATGTCAAAGTTCATGTTAGTTGACAACTGCAATTGCCATGAATATTCCTGCTCGCCAATGTGCTGAAATTTGGTCTGTTTGTCATTTCAAACAAAACCCTATAAAATTATAATATTTACTAGCATTCGTCGACTATTTTTAGCTAAAGTTGAAAAGTAAAGTAAAAATTCAAGTAACTGTCTTGTCAAATTTAACATGCAGATGCAGCAATAGCTGCAATATTTGATAGCTGAGTAGGTCTATCTGTACGTCTGTTCACATGTTTGAATATACCTCTAAAACCTATTATTTATCGATACCTATTATTTTATATATCTTATCTTTTATCTTTTATCATTTGTTTTTCTCGATAACTTATTCCATTTCCTATATTGATAATAATTGATTTATCAAGCATAACATAAAATCGATAAGAGTTTGACTGTGTAGATTCGACTCTTAGGTGATAGATGATGGATATATACCATACATGGATCCGAATATCTCTTGCTTAGACACCCCCAATTAGAACATTATTCTTATATTCTAATCAAATCTTACTCTGTTTTCCGAACTATAATAATGTTTGTTACGGTGTTTAGTAGAGCCCGCTGAGAATATCACTTAATCTAGTTAGGATATATACTCAATATATATTATATAATATATCTCACGATTTAGTCTCCTATCTTCCTTGCTGTTTCTCCATTTAAACCTCATATCCATTATTTTGAACCACACCCACTTTCTCTAGGAGCCAGAGCCCGTGCATCCATCGCTGGCGCAGGCGATTGTAGTGCTGGAAACGAAGGCGTTGTGGGATCAGTTTCATGCACAGGGCACCGAGATGATTATCACAAAGACGGGCCGTCGCATGTTTCCCACCTTTCAGGTGCGCATCGGTGGCCTCGATCCGCACGCCACCTACATCTGCATGATGGACTTTGTGCCCATGGATGATAAGCGTTATCGCTACGCGTTCCACAAGTAATTATAATGTGCACCGAGTGCAGCCGGTCTCAATCAATCTCAGGTCATCTCGTCACATCTTCAACTCCGTCTGTGTCTTCTGCAGCTCCTGCTGGGTGGTCGCTGGCAAAGCAGATGCCATATCGCCGCCGCGAATACATGTCCATCCCGATTCGCCGGCGGCCGGCGCCAATTGGATGAAGCAAATTGTGTCCTTCGACAAGCTCAAGCTGACCAACAATCAGCTGGATGAGAATGGGCATGTGAGTATGGGCATTTAATTGGGTCATAAATTTATGCTTGGCTTTGTTTATGCGGGGCATAAAACATTTGGTTGCTGCCACTGCGCCAAACGACAACAACAACAACAACAACAACAAATGGTTATTATTCGGGATTGTTGTTGTGGTTGTGTTTGGAAAGCTCTAAACAAAAACCGGCAGCCGCCATCCGATAGCACTCGGCATTCATAGAACACATGTCATGATGCTCTCTCTCTCTCTCTCAGCCCTCGCTCACGCTGTCCACAATTACCATTCCATTCCACAGATCATACTGAACTCGATGCATCGCTACCAGCCGCGCTTCCACTTGGTCTATTTGCCGCCAAAGAATGCCTCGCTGGATGAGAATGAGCATTCGAGTCACTTTCGCACATTCATATTCCCGGAGACCAGCTTTACGGCCGTAACAGCATATCAGAACCAGCGCGTGAGTATAAAGCAATGGGGCATCGGTAGGGGCATGGGTAGAGGCATGTGTAGGGCCATGGGAACAGGGTATTTAGGCGGGGTGCGGGCCCCACTTGACCCACTTGTCGTCGGACCCACTTGTAAATGACAAGCGCCAACGCTTTTCAGTTTTTAGTCAAATTAACATTTGTGTAACATTTGTGGTCGACAAGATTTTTGGGCCTCCTGCCCATCACCCAGCCACGCCCAGCTCCTCCCGTTTCAGAAATTTGTGCCCATTGTTTTTATTAATTTCTTCTCTTTGTGATATTTATTAAAATTAAAAATTTTGCATTTTGCATGATTAACGACCGGCAGATACACTATAAATAAATTTTAGAGAGCTACATAAACAAAATATATTTATCTATAAATGAGCACCTTAACCAATTGCCTTTTGCTTAATATCTAAACAATATTATTTATAGCGCGTGTTCATAATAAATTAAGTTTTTGTATAGCAATTTTAATAACAATAAAAAATTTATATTTAAATTGTATTAACAATATATTAA